CGGAGGGTTTTCCGTTTGACAGAGTTCTGGAAAAACGCCGTGAAACCCGTTTTCCGTATTCTGCCTAGCGGGGCTCCGGTGGCTTTTCTTTAAGAAACTCTGAAAGGCTGTAGTAGTGGAACACTGTCAGATACTCATTCGCACTTATTTCTCAATCCCCTAACGCGCAGAAACCACTATTACTGTTTTCTCTTGATGTAATTACATCTAACTCCTGAAAAGAGTGATTATATCTTCAGTACCATTTACTGGTGATACATATGCCCTGTTACATCTTCTTGCATAGAGCCATAGAATGGTTTGGGTCGGAAGGGACCTCAAAGATCATCTAGTTCCAACCCCCCTGCCATGGGCAGGGACACCTTCCACTACACCAGGTTGCCCAAAGCCTCATCCAACCTGGCTTTGAACACCTCCAGGGATGGGGTGTCTACAAGTCCTTTGGGCACCCTGTTCCAGTGTTTCACCACCCTTGTTGTAAAAAATTTCTTCCTTAGATCAGGCACAAGACAGATCTTTTTAATTTCTGCTCAGAGGAGTCAGAGAGACCAACCTGCAAGGAGGTCTTCACAGTAGTAGACTCAGCAGCAAAGTATGGACCTTGTGGAGTTTTTGTGCAAATTGTCAATGAGTCGCGCTCTGTTCTTGTTTGTTTTCAGACCTGCACAGCTCACCACTGTGGGGAAGCGCTGCTGCTTATGGATTCAGGACTTGTGCATGGACCTGCGCAACTTAGAGCGGGCTCGGGATGACCTACGCTTTCGAGGTGTAAAAGGCACCACGGGCACTCAAGCCAGCTTCTTGCAGCTCTTTGAGGGAGACCATAGTAAAGTAAGTCAGACAGCCCAGGGTGTAGACTTGCATTCTTCACAGTTCTCCCCTCTGGAATGCTGTTCTCTTTGGGGGAACATGCCAATTCTGGCATCAGATTCACAAGAGCACTGCAGTCCCTCTGAGGCCCACTGACAAGGCCCTGTGTGAAAGTGAGCAGAATTTGAGGAGGGGGTGCTTCTCAGCAAGTGAGACATTTGTTGACAGTAAACAGAAAAGCAAAGGATCCTTTTTGCTGTTGCTGACCTTCCTGAGTTGTTGCATTCTGAGATCTGTTTGTTTTGGTTTTTTCTTCACCCTGAGGTTGAAGAGCTGGACAGATTAGTGACCGCAAAGGCAGGATTTAAGCGGTATGTTACAAGCACGCTTAGTCACCTAAATTTGGTGTTAACAAAGTGTAACTCCTGCTGTCCATGTTGGCCTAGATTCCACTAGCTGCCAAACTGACACCTGTGCTGCTGTTGACTAATCTCCCCCTGCCATGTTCCATTCCAAGTTGCAGCTTCCTGCAGGAAACTTCGCCTCGTAAACAGGCCACTTCTACTTGTTTCTCTGTCAAAGCATGGCTGTCCATTTTCCCTCTGCTTCTCTCCTTCCCATCTGCATGCTGCCACAAGCAATTGACAGCCTGAATCAAAGTTTTTCTTATCAGGGCAGAATGACAGCCCTTCACGTTAAAAGCCGTGTCACTCCTTGCTCACAGTCTTGCAGTACAGTTGTATGTGCCTGGAGCACTCGACTTCTGTGCTTATTTCTAGGGCTTATATGGTCACAGGACAGACCTATAGTCGCAAGGTAGATATTGAAGTCCTGTCTGCACTGGCCAGTATGGGGGCGTCCATACACAAGGTGAGTGCCCTATTTGTATATGTGGGAAGAGAGAGGAGTGGTTTAGATCTTGAGAAGGTGCTCATGGTGGAGAATGCTCTTCTCAAGAAATATTGGTTGGTATGCCTTGTTCAGCTGTTCTGTTTGTGATCATGTAAATTCACTGCTGGGTATGTGCCTAGTAGTCAAACCTCAAAGATCTTAAGACCAGTGGCCAATAAAATCCCACTCCAGATACTAGTCTGATCTATGCTAAATCCAATTAGAGTAAATGTCTTTTCTGGTGATGGAGTTTGTAAATTTCACTGTTTGTTCCTAGTTAATTGCTCCTCTGATAATGGTGTTATTCTCTCTGTCCTTGTGGGTTCTTTTCATTGATTTATCTCTGTTCCCTCCCTCCTCCTCCCCTTGGGCTGAAGTGATCTGTGGTATTTTCTTCTGGTGTAGTTTTATAGGCTGACTGGTTCAGTGGGCACGTGTTATCTGTGTTTGCAAATAGCTGTGTAATTTTATTATGCATTTTCACTGTGCCTTCCTGGTATCTCTTCCATTCCGTGCAAACGTTTGCCCTTCTTGGAGTCCTGTTTTATTCTAATACAGGGGGCACCTTTTTTTCCTTATGCTCGCTTGACTGGGATTTTTAGGCCGGGAAGAATGACTGCAGTGTCAATTTTTTTTGTCAAATTTTTCACTGTCCCCCCAGTTTACCTCTCGGACACAGGTGCAAACACTTCTCCAAGAACACTAACAGGAGTATATATTGGTGTGTGTTAGTTTGGTTCTGTTTTTTAATTTCTTGGGCTTTTTTCTAGATTTGTACTGACATTCGTCTTTTGGCTAACCTGAAGGAGATAGAGGAGCCTTTTGAGAAAGAACAGATTGGTAAGGAATGGGAGACATTTCTTGGACCGGTGTATGTATCTTTGCATTTATATTGGTGCAGCCTTTTAAGCAAACTTAGAAATGTCACTGACAGAAGTTGCTTTAAATTAACTGAGGTTTGACATTGTTAGTATTTCAGGTCCTTTTTAAAGGAAAAAAAAAAAGCATTTTATCCAAAGTTTTCTGGATATTAAGTAACTAAAATTAAAATTGTGTTTCTGCACTTCCTAGGTTTGGGGGGAGAGCAGAAGCAGTCATGTGTTCTCCACAGATGAAGACTTGGGTCTGAGGAGTACTTAGTATTTTCCATTCCTCATGAAGCTAATTGGAGCTGTAGGTTTTTAGCTTGACTCAGCATTTTGGTCTTTATAAACCGACAAATTTGGAACAATGAAACTAGGCTGGACCCTTGCCAGAACAATATCAGTGATATGATTCTGACATTGGTAGAGGGGGAGAAGGAAACGTAGAGTTGTGGCTCTTGTCTGGAAGAAAGTTCAAGCAGGCACCCTAAATAGTTGCATAGGATTGAATCAGCAAATTAAGCCTTAGTCGTATTTGTTGTTTGAACCATTTTACGTTCTATGGTTGATTTCGATAGCCATTCACCAGAGCGACAGGCAGCGGTGTAAGTATCTGACTTTGAAGGACAATGTTACTGAGCAGATGAGGTCTTGAACACTGTTGAGGTTGACATGGGTAGCCTGGAGAGATGGTGCTAAATACTGCATGAAAAATTAAGTCCATTTATTCTTTTTACATGGTAGTCAAAGTGTCTCGTCACTTTTTTTCTCCCCACATTTGGATGTTTCTAATCTGAAGGGGAAGCATGGTGGTGTCATTTTCTTTATTCTGTTTTGTCCTTAGAAAATGATCATGTTTTGAGGCTTTAGTCAAAACATGATTCCTGACACATTTTTCTTATCTGGGGGAGGATCTTCATCTCTTCTTGAATGCAGTACTTCTGTGTCCTGTTTTCATCACTCTTTCTCCTTTCACAGGTTCAAGCGCTATGCCTTACAAGAGGAATCCGATGCGTTCAGAACGCTGCTGCAGCCTGGCTCGACACCTGATGACTCTGGTGCTGGATCCCCTCCAGACAGCCTCTGTGCAGTGGTTTGAGCGAACATTGGATGACAGTGCCAACAGGTTTGTTTAGATCGTGCAGTGCAGTGATTTCAGAAGGTCTTGTGCAGAAAGGTCCTTTGATGTATTTAGCAAATTCTATTTTTAAACTAAAACCACAAGTTACCACCTTGATGAAAAGCAGCCTCAATAGAATCTGGAGACTACAAACTGGTTTCCTCTCTAAGATTAGATGAAAACTGTTAGTTTTTTTTAATGTCAAGATCTTCTGCAAAGTAAACCAGCAGACAGAGGGAAGGATGCAGAAGCCGTGGTATTAAATTGCTCTCCTAGTCTTCCTGTTTCAACAGCATAGTATAACAGTACTCACGTTTCTCAAATTTTCCCCCTTGTCTGTTTAGAATGTGGTTTTTGACCCTGCTTTTCTTCGCTTCTTAAAGAGTAATTCAACATTTTATCTGTAATCCCTTTACCCTCCACATAATCTAAGGAAGTTTAGTTTCATCTCTTCTTTATAAGTAGTAGTTCAGATCCTAAAGAAGGAGCACAAACATTATTTTTTTTAAGTAATGTTTCATGAAAACCTGTGCGAGTCTTTTAGGTATTGCTCGGCAAATCTTGCTTTGTTTTCTGATTCTTCATTGTGACTATTTTGAGATGAGCAAAAGTTATCTATAATTATTATCAAGTAAATTATAGCAATTAAATTCAATGCTTCCATCTTCCAGTTAGTACTAAATTTGCATAAAGCTCATATTTACCTTTGAAACGTTTTAGTTTCAAAGTAGTCTTCTGTTGCAGAATTTGATCTCCTAGAATCTTAGAAATCTTTAGATCTTTAGATTGCTAAGATATGGAGCTTTTGAAACAATGATCAACAGCAGTTTTGGCTGTGGTCTAGTGTTAAGGTTGTTGATGAGAACGTTACATTAAAAATGTTTCCATAAACATAACGTCTGCAAAAATTTCATGAAAGCATGGAATATCTATCCCCAAAAGGACTTTACTCCACAGCTGCTAGTCTTGTTAAGAAGAGAGCTGCATAGACAGCAGTAAGCAACGTAAAACTAAGAAATTGGATGCTGGTTGATATGGCGTCTTTATTTCCCAGTAGCTACCAAGTGTTGAGAGACGTACTGGAAAGTTTCAAATTTTAGTTTCACCTCATCCAGTAGAAAGGGCCATTTATCCACTTCATAATCCAATTAAAAAATTCTGTGCCTTGGATTTTCCTTGTTAAAGCTGAAGTGTTTTGAAAGGAGAGCAACCAGCAAAGTCCTTTTGAAAACAGTGTGATGGAATTGAGGGCCTTAAATGTAGCACAAGATTCAGGTACTAGTATATTCTAGAAGATCACAGTTTAGAATGGGCCGGGCACCGCTGTCACAGATGGATGATGCTGTAATTGCTGCACTGTGACACAGAGCCTTTTGTCTGATACAGCTCAGTCCCCACTGCTCCTCTCCTTTCCCTCCTTTCCTTTAAGTCAGGAGCCTCCTTTGTGACCAGGAGCTGGTCTCTTTGAGGAAGCCCCCACCAAATGCATGGATCACTTTGAAAATTCCCCACTGAGCACAGCATGACAGTGCAGCATGTCTGACTCCTGGACAATAGGGTCAGACAGGGCAGCACAGAACACAGGAAAAGATAGTCTCATGTGTTTGCTGGCTCTGTAAATTGCTGCCCTCTTTCCTGGCATTGATTTATCATTGAATTATCTTGGAGAAAAAATTAAAAAAAAAAATAAAAAAAAAAAAAGGAAAAAATCCCACCAAAAAAACCCCTTCCGTCTCCCCAGCTTGCGAGTTGTAAGATGTTCCTTAGCTTTCCTGGTTGTGACATTTAAGCAACAAGAAGCACCCATAAGGAGAACAGTTCCAGGGCCGTGGTAATGCTATTTGCAGAATTATTTATAGAAGCTAAAGAGCTGGATGTGAGGTAGACTGGAACATGGCTTTTATTGCTAACTGGGGCCCTGGGTGTGTGTGTGTTTCATAGGCGCGTGTGTCTTGCTGAGGCTTTCCTCACAGCTGACATCATTCTGAGTACACTGCAGAATATCTCCGAGGGACTTGTGGTATATCCAAAGGTAAAGCAGGAGATATCATGTGCAGTGTTGCATCCTTGATAATGCTGCAACTATGCCAAAGTATATAAAAATCCTCCCACTCAAAGGATTACATTTTTGTCTGTTAGTTCAAACGGTTTCCGAATTTTGCTCTCCATTCTCACTATATTCTGTTTGCACAACAGACATGAGAGGGTATTTGTTGAAGCCAAAAGATCGTAAATTAAAAATGTCTTAAAAAGGATATTTTGCCCTGAATCACATGATGGTTCGTAGAACTTACCACCAAAAGATACTGTCAAGGCAGATCTCATACGGTTCTGTAGCTTACCTACAGGTTAAAAAAAAAAATTGTTGTAGATCTTTTGCACAGAAATGCACCTTACAAGATACAACTTCTAAGTATTATCAGCTTCAATACTTGGATTTCCAGAGCTAAGTTCAAAAAGAGAAATTATCTTTGCATCATTGTCCAGTCCTGGAGATTCAAAGGGAGAGGAAAGCTTCACTGGGAGTTGGAGTTGTCTACATGATTGCTATAATGCTGTTTCCTTTTTCTTTCTTTTTTTTTTTGTGTTTGTTTGGTTTTGCTTAAGGTGATTGAGAGGAGGATCCAGCAGGAGCTGCCATTTATGGCCACAGAGAATATAATCATGGCGATGGTGAAAGCAGGAGGCAATCGTCAGGTACAAATGCAGTCAAAAATACCTTGCTTCACTGCCCAGCATTTCACTCCTGAGATGCACAAGTACCTGGGCTCTCATCCTGACCACGTCACCTTTCTTTGTCCTCCACCTGCTCTCACAGAATTATTAGTATTACACTGGTGCTGCAAAGCCAGACGCTGCTCTCTGAGAAGAGCGCCGTTGTGGAGATCCCTATTTTCTGTTAGGAACACTGTGTGTTTGAGCTAATCTGGCCGTCTGTGCTGGAGAAGAGGGAGACCTATTTTTATATTAGATACTAGTAGGTGTTTTCCTTTTGTGAATATTTGAAGGAACTTGGAACACAGGCCAGGCTTCTTTAAATGGAACATGTTGGCAGTTGGCTACCTTATAAATTAAAAGAATGAATCAGTGCTGTTAACGAAAAAGCAAGTAAGACCATTCTGAACCATTCATTCGTGTGTCACTCTTCCCCAATTCAGTATAGTGCTTTTTATTATTAACTTTGTTTATGGTCCTTCATTCAGTTTTTTGTGTCCAAGCAAATTGAAATTAAATGTTTTCCTCAGTAAATAAATCCAGACACAATTAGATTTGATTTCCTTGTCATTTAATTTCACAATTCAGTTTAAAGCTGATAACCAAATTTACATCTTAATAAAGCAGCTTATTTTTCACTTACCTTTAGATAGTAATTTTTCCTTCTATGATTATTTTCACATCAGGGACAGAAGTTAAACTTGCAATATAGTAACAGTGCAAGGGTTTGCTAGAAGCTTTGAGTAGCATATGTGGGTCTAGTTCTTTGAAACAATTCTGGAAGCTCACTCATGCTGCTAGTCAGGAAACATCCTTTTTCCTTCCCTGCCCCCCGACCCCGTGTCTCTGACACTTGTCCCTGGGCCAGTCAGTAAACTTCCGAACTTAAACGTACTAAGGGTCATGTCATGTGGGTAAGTTTTGTTATCTTTTCAGCTGGTTCTCTTTCTAAAGTATCCTGTACTTACCTAAACACTCCTATTTCGATTAAATTGAGTAGTGAATTTAATTTGTTTGTTATTGTTCTACCTTCTTTCTGGTGCTGTTTAATTACAAATCTAGAGAGTTTAGTACACCTATAAAATCTGTTCTTATTCACATTAGCATGTTCTGTTTTCCTGTGCTGGGAACTCTGGAATGGCACATCTTCTATGCTTTCCCACCTCATAGCATAGAAGCTCACTTCCTTTTCCTACTACTGAACAACTCTCTCCTGTAAACATCCAGAACACAGATCTGTTCACCTGAGGTAGATCAGTGCTGGAGCAAGATGGCTTCTGGATGGAGGGAAATAGGAGCAAGAGATCATTTTCCTCCTAATTGAAGATAGATCAAGGATAATACTTTTGAGGAGAAGATTCTTACATGGCTGCAAATGCAACCATATGACTGTATTGTAAGGCCAGCATGGCAGCATCTAATTTTGCAGGTGGTCCCTGATTACAGATGAGTTCCCTTGTTTTTACAGATTGATTCCACAGGAAGTCAAGGCATTAGGAAGTCTTTCAGAAGAATTGTTATAAGGGTTTTGCCAGTCTTAGTGCTGTGTGAGGGTTCTTTGGGAGAGAATATTTTAAGGCCCTCAGGTTTGTAAGGTGTGGGGTTTTTTCCCTTCAGTCTGTCCTTATGTAAGCCATGGTTTACATAGTCTCACTGCTTGTTGAGTTGGACAGGCTCTCTTCTTTTCTGTTTTCCAAATCTGTAGATGTTTTACATTGTTTACAACTGAAAAAAAAACCTGTAGTGACTCGTAAGAGTATTTGGGGAATTCGACGAAGTGGAAAGGAGTCCAGTGTCATAAGTTTGTGGTATAATTGAACAGGGAACGTATGTGTCATTCAGACTGTTTTAACTGCAAAGGGCAGATGTGGAAGGATGAAGAAAATCTTATTTTAATGTAGTGGTATATGAGACACTGCAGTCCAAGCCGTGTCTCATTTGTATGCTTCCAGTGCCTTTGCTTTGATGTTTCTCCCTCCTGCACAAGTTAGCAGGATGAACATGTTTCGTGAGTAGCAATGGAATGACTTGTTTCTTTTCCTTTCCTCTTCCCCATGCTCCCACAGGATTGCCATGAGAAGATTCGTGTTCTCTCCCAGCAAGCAGCTGCTGTTGTGAAACAGGAAGGAGGTGATAATGACTTAATTGCCCGTGTCCGAGCTGATGCTTACTTCAGCCCTATCCATAAACAACTTGAAAGCCTGTTGGATCCCTCCTCCTTCACTGGACGTGCTCCTCAGCAGGTAAAGCAGCTATGGGTGTTACAGGTTGTAATGCAATTCGTCGTTAAATCCTCTTGTGTGCCAGATAGTGTACATACTGTGTACCTCTGCCCGTACTACTAAGGCAGACACATTTCTCTCTTTCGTTTTCCTTGGCTTCATTGTCTTTCCTTGTGGGCTTCAGATTTTTGACCCAGGACTTACCAGGCTGTTAGGAGTCTGTGAAACAGAAACCCCAGTGAGACAAGCAGGTCTGAATGGGGAGAAGGGAACCTTTTATTTTGCTATTTTTTTCTTTCCTGTGTTTCTTGAACAGGTGGCAAAGTTCCTGAAGGAGGAGGTTCGACCAGTGCTGATTCCATACCAAAGCAAGATGGGTGGGAAAATTGAGCTGGCGCTTTAGGTATATTCTGCAAAGGTGTTTGGGTACGGGAAGATAATAAAAGCCTTATTGAACCAGGTCTGTTTACTGTGTCATGTTATTTTGGTTCTCCACAGTACATTTAACACCCAGAGCTTACAGCCACCTTGATTCCAGATGGGCTTTTCATTCATTGTCTGCTGTTTAATCACGCCTCCATCTATAGTGTGCTGAGTTACTGAGAAACGCATGATTGTGACAAGGTAACTTTATCACAGTCCCCTTCACTGGCCCCTCAGAGAGAGCACTGACAGCTGTTTAAAGAGCAATGCCAGGTGCTGCCTGACGTTCATATATGACTGACTTGTTGAAGAGCAGGGGTGAGGGGAACTGAGCCCGCTCCCATTTCCATCTTATTCATCTGCTCTTAAACTTTCTGCACAGGTGTGTGAAAAGATGGTAAAAGGTTGTCCTGGTCTTCAGAGTACTGTGATTTGGAGAGCAAACAGACCGAAAAATTAGCAATAATGGAAGGGAGAGGCCATAGAACTTCACTTATCAAAGTGGTGGACCTTCAGTGCTTCCTTGCTGATTTAGTACTCTACCTGTGGCTCTGCAGCTTCTGAAAATCATGTTTACAGGTGTGAGTTAGGAACCAGCCATCGTGATTTACTTTTCCAGGTCCTTGGCTTTAGGTGCTTGATACTGAGTGGCAGGTGGGCTTTGGCACATGAAAGTCATTCTGTACTGCAAGTAAGTTTTGTCTGATAAGGAAAGAAAAAAGATGTTGGAATTTATTGGATGCCAGAGAAATTCAAGAGCTTTGGTCTTATTTCTGACCCTGAATGTTCTGGTTTGTAATGTCTGTGCTTTACTGGACATTCAGTACTGGACCAAACTCTTTTCCCTTTGACTCACACTGGAATTGATTCTCTTACCTCTTCTTCCATTATTGTTACATTACAGCCCATTTATTTTGCTTCAGTGCAAAAAAAAAAGAGAAAGCTCCCTCTTACTTATTCAGACTCTCAGAGATAACAATGATCAGAATTATTTGATTCTTTTTGAGGTGTGATTGCTGGAAAGAATTACAAAAAAAACCTAATCGAAAGCAGCTACCTGCTCGAGGCCATCATTGTTTAAAGAGGATTTCAAAATACAGTATGTTTTAATGAGGCTTGTCTATATTAAGTAGTCAGAGAAGTGGGAAGCTTTAGGCCATGATCTCCCCTCATCTAGATTGCTCTGCTTTTTCTTCGACTGTGGCATTCAAAATGTCTCAAACGTTTGTGAGTTTTATGGTGTTTAAAACATTTTGCCTGCTCATGCTATTAAGATTTAATTAGCCATCTGTTTGAAAAGGTTAACTGTAATTGAACACTGGTAATTTTCAAACTAGTACTCAAATGGATAGCCAAAAAAGCCAACAGATAGACCCAGAAGTGCTCCTTTTTTTGGTCTACTTTCCTCTTTCTCTGTGGGATTAAAAAAACCCAACACTGCACAGTGAAAAAGAACAGCTAAAGGATCTTTTCTTGTCTGGAAATAAATCTTTGTGCCAGGTGGAGGCTACCAGCTGTGAGGCCATTGGACTTCTTTTCCTGGAAAGTTCAAAAAGAGTAACCGTAATGACACAGGGAAAATGTCACTCTCCTAGAAAACTGTGGCATGATACACAAACCCTTTTGAAGGCTTTTGCTCCTCTTTGTAAGAGCTTGCTTTGGGACCTCACTTTGTTTTTACCAGTGGAGTTGGTGGAGGCACCAGCCAGGGATGTAGTTCCCTCCTGGGTTGTTGGAGTAGGTCGCCAAGAATTGCTTCAGAAGCAGCTCTCTGCTAATTTGCGAGGCCAGGTCGCTCTTCCAGTTTATTCTGGTGCGTATCCCTGGAGCCCATACCCCTGATAGATGCCACCAGGACAGCGGCAGTGGGTCTGCGCCCTCCTTGGAGGAGAAGTTAATGTAGACCTGAACGGTGAAAAAGAACCACGTGGCTTCTCAGCATCTTGCCGAGCGTGAACAGGTTTGTGTCCCAGTCGCTGATGGC